GGGGGAGGGGGGTCCCCAGCCCAGCCTGCGCCCTCTCGCAGTCTGGGATCCCTCGGGAGATAACGACCTGCTGGCTTAGGCCTGCTCCCGGGTGGCAGAGGGCAGGCCCAATCCCTAGGTGCAGCCCCTGGTCAGGCTCAGAGCAGGGCCGATTGGGGAATTGGGGCGTCGCCCCGTCATGCACAGAGCAGGGCGGGATCGGGAGGTTGCGATGCCACCCTCAGTCACGCTCAGGGTAGGGCCGATTGGGGGGTTGGGGCACCGCCCCCTGTCACACTCAAGGCAGGGTCGATGGGGGAGGTTTCGGCGCCACCCCCTGTCATGCACAGAGCGGGGCCGATCAGGGGGTTGGGGCACTGCCCCCTGTCACTCACAGAGCAGGGCCCAATCAGGGGGGTTGGGGGCGCTGCCCCCCTGTCACTCACAGAGCAGGGCCAATAGGGGAGTTGGGGGCACAGCCCCCTGTCACACACAGAGCAGGGCGGATCAGGGGGTTGGGGCACTGCACCCTGTCACACTCAGGGCAGGGCCAATGGGGAGGTTATGGCTCTACCCTGTCACACACAGAGCAAGGCCCGTGGAGGGGGGTTGGGGTGCCACCCTCTGTCACCCACAGAGCAGGGCTGATCAGGGGGTTGGGGCGCCGCCACTGTCACACTCGGGGCAGGGCTGATGGAGAGGTTATGGCTCTACCCTGTCACACACAGAGCAGGGCCCGTGGGGGGCGCGGGTTGGGGCGCCACACCCTGTCACACACAGAGCAGGGCCGATCAGGGGGTTGGTGTGCTGCACCCTGTCAAACACAGAGCCGCAGGGAAATCAGGGGATTGGGGAGCTCCCCCCTATCAGGCACAGAGCAGGGCTGATCAGGGGTTTGGGGTGCCTTCCCCTGTCACAAACAGAGCAGGGCGGATAGGGAGGTTGTGGCCCTGCCCCCTGTCACACACAGAGCCGCAGGCGGATCAGGGGGGTTTGGGCACTGCCCCCTGTCACGCTAATCCCCGGTGCCGGGAGCCTCGCTGCTCCGCTGATCCCGGTGCTGGGAGGCATATTACCCTTTTACCATATAGAATAGAGGCCTGGTGCATGGGTAGGGGCTGGCTGGTTTGCCCTGAAGGGTGTCCTGGATCAGGGTGGGGGTCCCCACTGGGGTGCCTGGCCAGTCTGGGTGAGGGGCTGAGGGCTGTTTTCCGGCTGGTGAGTGACTAAAGCTTCCAACTGCTCCTTGTTTTCTTTTTCTTTTTTTTTTTTTTTATTCTGGGCCAGCTTTAGCTCTGAGGCCTCGCTGCTGAAAACATCGATACAAAGTTTCGGTCTGCCTGGCTTTCAGTCAGGCTGATTTCTGGGGTTTTGTTTAGCTTCTTATTTGCAACATAGTACATAGTTGCTTAGACTTGAAGCTGAGAGGCCGGCAAGTGAGGCAGGGAACGTTTGAGTCCGCAGCAAGCAAGCCTCATGCTCGCTTCAGTGCCTGGCTGCCGGCCGCCATCTTGGCTGACAGTTAATTTGCATATACTCACTGATTAGCCAATGAAAAGGGTAGTGGTCGTACGCTAATTACCATGTTTCTCTTTTATTAGTGTAGACTAGAGGCCCGGTGCATGGATTTGTGCATTGATGGTGTCCCTCAGCCTGGCCTGCACCCTCTTGCAATCAGGGAGCCCTCAGGGGATGTCAGAGAGCCAGTTTTGGCCCAATCCCTGCAGGCCAGGCCGAGGGACCCCACCTGTGCACAAATCTCTGCACCAGGCCTCTAGTATGCATAAAAGATCTTTGGTTAATCTCTTCCCACCCTCTCCCCTCCCTCCTTCCCTCTGAGATTTAGCAGTTTGTTCCATGTTTCCATGCCTGTGCATTGAGTGTCTGCCCCCTGGTGATCAGTGCGTGTCATAGCTACTGGTCAAATGGTCACTTAGGCTTTTATATATATAGATTCAATTGAAAATACTAGTAGTGCTGTGCTCACTATAAACAAGGAAATTTTTAATGCAGGGAAAATTGAAGGGAATCCACCAAGACCTGAAATTAATAAGGATACTCAGACAAATTTGGAGAGTTTTACCCGAACAGCAATTGGAAGTGCATTTGTGGTTTCAAATATTTCAACATTTCCCTTGCCTGACCTGTACCCACCAAGTCAAATCACAGACCTTGAGGCCACACCTGATGGGGATATGATCAATCTAACATGGACAGCACCAGGAGACAATTTTGATGTTGGGAAAGGTAAGGATGAAGTGTCATGCAGTATTGATTAGGTGAAATATGCTCATGCAAAAAACAAAAGTATAAGGGTGGATGGGAGAACAATTTTTAATTAATAACTCAGTAAAGTATTAATTTTATAATCTGACTAGAGGCCCAGTGCATGAAATTCATGTATGGGTGTCCCTCAGCCCGGCCTGCACCCTCTCCAATCTGGGACCCCTCGGGGGATGTCCAACTGCCAGTTTAGGCCCAATCCTGCAGGCAGTCAGACATCCCTCTCACAATCCAGGATTGCTGGCTCCTAACCACTCGCCTGCCTGCCTGCCTGATTGCCCCTAACCACCTCTTCCTGCCAGCCTGATTGCCACCTAACTGCTCCCCTGCCAGCCTGATCGCCCCCAACTGCCCTCCCCTGCCAGCCTGATCGCCCCTAACTGCCCTCCCCTGCCAGCCTGATCGCACCAACTTCCCTCCCCTGCCGGCCTGATCACCCCCTAACTGCTTGCTCCCCTGCTGGTCGGATCGACCCTAACCACCTCTGCCTCAGCCCCTGCCACCATGGCTTTGTCTGGAAGAAACTCGGATGTCTGGAAGATGTCCAGTTGACCCGGTCTAATTAGCATATTACCTTTTTATTAGTATAGATATTCTAAATCAATCAAATATAACACATTTTGACTGGTCCCATTTTCAAACCAAAAAAGGTAATAATGGCAGATTAAAAATAAGAATTCAGCTTATATTGAAAAATTATTAAAGCTTTGGATATGAGTATAAACTTGGAATAACTAAACAATATTTTGAGGAGAATGAATAAAAAGGAATTTAACATGGTATGATCTAGTTTCTAAACTACATGTACTTTTTTTTTTTTTTAGTTAAACAGTATATCATAAGAATAAGTGGAAGTATCCTGGATCTAAGAGACAAGTTTGATGATGCTCTGCAAGTAAACACTACTGATCTGCTACCAAATGAGGCCAACTCCAAGGAAACCTTTACATTTAAACCAGGAAATATCTCAGAAAAAAATGCAACCCACACATTCATTGCCATTCGAAGTGTGGATAATAGCAATTTGAGATCAAAAGTATCCAACATTGCACAAGTAGCGTTGTTTATTCCTCAAGGAGATACTGATGAAATACATCCAAATCCTAATCCTGGAATTAGCATTTCTTCTTTGGTGCTGTTAGTGGTTGGATGCGTGGTCCTTGTTACTATTATTTTAAGTGTCACTATTTATATCTTAAAAAAGAAAAAAAATCCAAACAGACCTAGTACAGCGTTTTAAAAACACATCAACAACAAAAGTGAAGGATATTTCTGAATTTTTTAATTCATCTTGTGTGATCATGAACTCCTAAAAATAACTTCAGAAGTTCTAGAAGGGATATTTTAACTATAAACACTCAGGAGTATTTGAAAAATTGTAAGCCAATGCTAAAGTTATTAACTTTGTTTACTCATTATTTTGTTTATCAGAAAAAGTGATGAATAATAACATTTTTTACATTCATGCCAGGTTGTTTGTTATTTGATACAACAGCTGTCTAGAATAATACTTCACACTTCATGAAAAAGTTAAAATTGTCTATGTGAATAGTCAAATACAAGTGTAAGAAAGCAAATAAACTATATTTGAGCAAAAATGAATTTAGTCTTGGAAGTTTTAAGTGTAAATTGATGTTATTGTATTTGCCCAAAGTTTCCAATTATATTCTACTATATAGAATACAAGTAAGGTCATGTTTACTGCCATTCACTGACATGAAGGATACTAGCAAAAAAATCAGTTACCACGTGTCAAACCATAGTCTCCCTTATTTTAGTTCAATATAATCATATATACTTCAAATAAAGAAAGAAAACTAAATTTTAAAAAATATCTAATTATCACTGCATCATAGCCTAAGATTCACAACCATAGTAATGAATAAGATCAACTAAAGAGAGAAAGTAGGTTGGGATGAGCAGGTTCACATGGTAGGCCATGGCCAACCCTGCCAGAGATCCTAAAGATGCAAATAAAATGAAACATAGAGCATATAACCATGGGCCTATCATGGTACTGAAAGAATTTTCATCCAGGGAGTAGGTGGACTTATGAGTCCAAGTTTACAAGCATATGGTTACCTTGTTCCTCCAAATGATGGTTTTTTTCACTTTGCAACGAGTTTTGCCACCAGAACAGGCACGAAGATCAGCATCATCACTTGTATCCTTGTCTACTGTAGCTTGGCAGGAATTATTTATAGGTTTGGAAGTAAA